ACAATACTTATACTTGATAAACTTTAGATTAAAAAAAAAAAACTAATTGAAAGATACAAGAATTATTTGGAATTTTTTAAAAAGAAAATAGAAATTAGTATTTTATTTATTATTTTAGTATCTTCATTTATTATCATTACATCTATTATTATGATCATAATTAATATTAATATAGGCTAGATACTAGAAAAAGAGCTAAAAATGATAATTTTTTTAAATGAATTTTTTTTTACATAAATTAATTTAGAATTAAATTAGAATGCATAAATTATTTAAGAATATTATTTACCTTGATGATCTTAATAAATTAATATAGTATAACTAATAAATTTGCTTTTATAAATGTTATACTAATATGTTTGTAAAAGAATGTTCTTTATTTTTTTCAATATTTCTTTTAATTTATTAAGTTCTAATAAAATAATTTTATCATTTTTCTATTCTAAATGATTTCATAGATTTTTATTGCTGATAGCAGTTTACTGGTTCTTTTTCCTAATATTTCTTTATTAAATCTATATAAATAAAGTGTGATTCTATATTACTAAATTCATATAACTTTTCAGAGGTATTTTATTAGTTAGATATTTTATACTCTTGTTAAAAATTATAATTGTCTTATTTTGTCTACTATCTTTTCTACCTACCTACCTTTAATAATAGTCTTAATTTTGCCTATCACCTCTCCTACTCACCCACTCTAAGAAAAAAAAAAAAGTATGACAAAGAATCCTAAAGTCAGATTTAAATAGACCTAATTTCAGGTTCAAGTGAACCTGATTTTAGATTAAAATGAACTAGATTTTGGGTTTTAGATATTACAAATTATTATATAATGAATAAGTATATAATTTAAATATTATATAGAAAATGTTTATTTGTTACATAGACAATTGGTCATACCCTCAACTACTATAAAGTATGAATATTAGTCACATATGAGTGTAATAAATTTTTATATGACAAATAAATATTTATTAATTAATCATATTAATAAATACTTATTTGTTATATAATAATTCATTACATTATTACTATTAAGAAAAGACTAATATATGATTTGAGATATGACCAATTATTTATATGACAAATAATAAATTACTATGTAATATATATAACTAATTCCTATTTGTCACATAATAATCTGTTATACCCTAAATATTTGAACTACCAAAACCTAATTTTGGGTTCAAAGAATTTAATTCAGGTTCAACGAACCCAATTCAGATTTAAATAAACCTAATTCAAGTCTAATGAACCCAATTCAGATTCAAATGAACCTAATTTAGATCTAATAAACCCAATTTAGGTTCAAATAAACCTAATTCAGGTCCAATGAACCCAATTCAGATTCAAATAAACCTAATTCAGGTCCAACAAACCCAATTCAGGTTCAATTAAAGTTCAAATGAACCTAATTCAGGTTCAACAAACCTAATTCAGGTTCAAATAAACCTAATTTGAGTTTAATGAACCTAATTCAGGTTCAATTCAGGTATAAATAAACCTAATTCAGATTCAAATATATCTAATTTAAAAAATTCAAGTAAAAAAAAATTAAAAAATTAAAAAATTAAAAAATAAAAAATTAAAAAAATTAAAAAAATAAAAAAAATTAAAAAAAAAAAAAATTAAATTTTAAAATTTTAAAAAATAAAAAAAAAATTTTTAGGATTAGAAAATTAGATTTAGAATTAGGAGTTAGAGTTAGAGTTAGAGTTAGAGTTAGGGTTAAGGTTAGGGTTAGAGTTAGAGTTAGGGTATAATAGGTTTTAGTAAAAATACTGAAGCGAAGGCGACAGCCGTAGCGAAAGTATATACATAATTTTTATAATTTTAAAACTAAAAAAATTCTTACAAACATTTAATAACTAATATTTTTTAGTTTAAACTTAATCTAAATTTATTAACTAATTATATATTTAAACTTTAACTAAAAAAAATCAAAATTTTATTTAAACTTTGATTTTAAAAAATTTAAGAACTAAAAAAAATAAAAAAAAACTAGCACCCGGAGCAATGCCCGGGTCTATTTGCTAGTTTATATAATATTGTGGTGTGTTCTCAATAATTGTTGGTCGTAGATTATTACTACATATTTCTAATTGAAATTGTGTTTCAAAATTTTTATTATAAGATACAGATTTTCTATATAAAATTTCCTAAATAATTATTCCAAATTAATAAATATCTCCGTCTAAAATTTCCAGAGCTATATATTGTAAGATTCCATAAATTCCATGCTTTTCGTTAGCTCTGAATCAGCTATATATGCGTAAGTCATCTTGTAAAATATTACCACTATATAAATCTCTATAAATAAGTTTTTGGATGCAATATAATGTAATAATTTCAATTTATCGCTCCACTTTATTTGTGCTACAGAGTGAAGAATTTGGCCCATACTTGCATATTCCAATACAAGTATAATAATCTTCAGAAGAAGCATCTTTTGATATTCCATGGCATTGTAAAAATGATGGGTGTTTAGCGCTAATATCACAATATGCCTTTAATATTTAAAATCAACTTTATGATTAATATGTAAAATCAAATTTATAATTAATATTTAAAATCAAATTTATGTTTAATATATATAAATACATAAGTTATTAATGACTTAGGTTTAAATAAAAATATTCACCTCTTTTAAAAATCCTTCATTAAAAAAATTTGATCCGTGAAGTAATTTAAGTGCTATAATGTTGCTTTTTATCAAACCATCCAGCACAAAATACTGTTACAAATCTACCTTGTCCTATTTTTCAAATATACTTAAATTCTTTATATAGAATCTGATATTTTTCTTCGATCAATAATTTTTTTGCATTATCATCAGTATTAGAATTTTCATCCGTCCTTTCACCTATCAATTAAAATATATATGACTATTAAATTTAGTAAATAAATAATAACTTATATTTATAAATTACCCAATATCTTATTTTTTTTCCTCTAATTATTATAAATGTATATTGTAAAAGAGTAGAAAACAAACAAATTAAGATAAATAAATTATCAGTTATTTATATTTGATACCAATAATTACCTTCTGTAAATCTCTTTTTACTCCCATTTCATTTCGATAACAATAATCAACTTTAGACATTCCACCATATTGGTAGATATTTGATAATATTTGAATGCCTTATGTTTATCCTTTTCAACCCCTATTTCTTTAGGGGAGGGACAGAAATCAGCTGATTTCTTAGGGGGGTGGGGGTTAGAAGTTCAGTCAGGTCAAATATTATATTAATTATAGAATATACTATAACATACAGTCAGGTGGGGGGTGGGAGGAGGAGCTCTATAGTAAATTGAAATCACCTGATTTTTGTCCCTCCCTTTATCATAACAATCTCTAAGGTTATACATTGCATTGGCATTTCCCATCACTGCAGATTTTTGATAATAAATAAATGTCTTATGTTCATCCTTTTCAACCCCTATTCCTTTATAACAATACCCAAGGCTATTTATTGCAGTAGCATTACCCATCTCAGCAAATTTTTTGATAATGAATGAATGCTTTATGTTCGTCTTTTTCAACTCCTATTACATATCGGTAACAATATCCAAGACTATTTATTACAGAAGTATTTCCTATCTCTGTAGATTTTTTATAATGAATAAATGCCTTATAGTCATACTTTTTAACTCCTATTCCATATTGATAATTGTATCCAAGATCATTTAACATATCTGATTTTTTATTATGAAATAAATTCTTATATATCTTAGTCTTTTTTTTTGAATATTATAAAAGGACCAAATAATTTGAACCTGATTTTTAATAATTTATACGTAAATAATTTAAGTTTATGCAACCGTACTTAAACATATTTCAAATCTATTTAATAGGGTAGCTTAATTAATTAGCTATTGATCGTAGTGGTGAATATCTATTATAGTAAAAATTAATTAGATCTTTGTTAATACTCAATAAAACTAATCATGGTGTAATTGATGTATCTTCAATATTATTGTGTGAATCATTTTTTTAAAGTTTGATTGGATAAATGTAATAAACAACCACATGAATAAAAATCAATTAAAATTTTAACAAACTTATTAATTACAATTATTTAAAGATAGATATTTCAGTTTTTGCAGGCTGACTTTCACAGTGGTAACATCTTACAAAATCAAGATCCTAATAACAATATGCGATCTTATAGAAAAATGCACATATAGGCTGCTGTCAATAGAAATCAAGCAAATTGTTTTTAAGTAAATTTTTTTGTAATTTTAAACAAAAATATTTCAACAAAAACTTTATCAATTTTAATAATTTTTTTTTAAAAAATAAATGTTGAAGTTTGTAGAATATTCAATTTAAATAATTTTTTTATTAAATTTAATTAAGTTATTGTTAAGCTATTATTGTTTAAAGTTACAAAAAAATTTCAATTAAAACAATTTGCTTGATTTCTATTGACGGCAGCCCATATGTTCACATGCACGGAGAATTTTTATAGTCAAATTGATAAAAATTTTCGGGTTTTTATTTGCCATAACTAATAAAAAATGAACTATTAAAAATTATGGATCCAATATTTGAATAAAGTCTAGTTGGGAAATTTAGGAATAAAGGTGAATTAAGTCTATGATCAAATCAAAAGATCTTTGTCTTGTTGAAATTTCGATCATAATAACATGGGAAGTAGTTGTTTGCCTAATAAAACTTCAGGAACAACATAGGGCATAACACAATTTTATCATTCACACACTCATGCATAATCAAATTGGATGTAAGATTTTGCGGATAAAGATCCATATAATCATACACTACATATAGAGTTAATATATTATATATAATTAGTCGAATAATACATTAAATTAAATATGTGTTAATATTAAATTATGTTGTTAAATTACTATAAATTCTATATAATTTTTTTAAAGTATTAAATTTTGATAATTATTTTTTATACATTGAATTATCTGTTATTGAATATAAATTTTTATTTCAGATGTACTAAATATAAAATTTAAAAAATCTAAATATTCGTTAAATTATTACTATCTAATTTATTAGAAATATTATTTATTAATTCTTCTAAATTTTTAAATGCCTTATCGTAAGATTTTTTTATTTCATCAATTGTCTCAGCATGTGTAGTAATTATATTTTTTATTTGTTTATAATCAGTTTGTTCTTCAAAAGGTTTAAGAGCTTCTTTAAGATTATTTGATAAATAAGGCATAAATCCTGTTGATTTATTGTTTTGAATATTTATTATATGCTCTCGAAGCTCATATGTATGACATCCATAAAAACTTTGATAATAAAAATATATAAGTAAGAAAATAAAGGTTTATTTTTAAATATATAATTAAATAACTTACAAAGTATATGGAAACCAATTTTCTTTTCTTCGTTGATGTGGTAACATATATGACAACTCAATTTCATCAAGAATCTAAACAAAATGTATAATAAATTATAAAATTTGATTTAAATAATTTAATTTAAATAATTATGATATTAAAAAAAAAAATACCTCAGCAATTAAAATTAAATAAGAAATATTTCTATTTTCATCATCACTAATTAAATTACTAATAATTCCAATAAATAAATTCATCAGATAAATTAATGTGAAAAATGAAACTACAATCATTAAAAGCATTATTTCAATATTTTCATTTGAAATCCATGAAGAAATAGGGGTTAAATCTCCTAATAAAATAATTATTTAATAATTCACGTAAAAATAAGAATTGAAAAAAATTACTAAATATAATTTACCTGTAATCATCATATAATAAGTTGCAATAATTGAAGAACCAAATTGTGTAAACATATTTGAATCTAAATATTAGAATAATTATTAATATAATTATTTATAGAAATTAATAATCAATAAATAAATTTAATTAATTAAGTACCTTGCAATATCTGAGATTGTAATGATAGATAGAATGAATGTGATAATACAAATATAATACACCCAAATATTATTATAAAATACACGACTTTGTCTACAGTATTCATAATCATAGCAAAATAAATTCCAAAAATTTTTAAACAACGAAAAAAAAGAATAAATTTTAATTCGAGAAATAAAGTTGAAAATGTGATAGCCCAAGTTGGAACAGAGCCATTATTTAACCAATAATAAGAAGTTGCTAACGTAGATATTAAAGCAGTAATATCTGTTAAAAAAAATAAATAAAAATATATCTTAATAGACATGTTAATAAAATAAATAAATGAATGTATAATAGACATGTTAATAAAATATTTACCAAGATAATTCCAAATACTTGAAAAATATCTTAGAGGATTATACATAAATTGACGAATTTCATTAGATAGAAGCCAAAAACCAAAAATAAAGGTAGTGATCAAGAAAAAATTTTGATGATTCCAAGTAATATCATTCGATAAACTAGAAAAAGTAATAAAACTGCCAAGAAAAGCTGTATAAATTGCCCAATTTGCTAAATAATATATTTTACCATAAGTATTCCATTTAAACTCAATTAGTGCTTTTCCATTTAAATATTTATAAAATTCATAATTTATCTTTTCAAGCTTATTCGAGTATATAAAACAACTTGGAGTAGGTAACAAAAATGCTTTCAATGGATGGTAAAAATCTTTTGAATAAGAAACAAAATTTGGTATAGGAAATGCAAGCACTAAAGTTGGGTTCTCATCTATAGAATAAAGACAACAATTAACAATATAATAAAATCCACTAACAAATAAAAATAATATCGGTATAAATAAAACATTTGATGCAGCTAATAATAAAATTAATAACCAAACTAAATAAGTGAATATAGGATAATTTTGAAACAAATTTTGAAACCATTGAGTCCAATTTTTAAACCAATTTAGAAACCAGTAAAACCAATATTGAAAACCAATCCAATATTTAGAAATTAATATATCAAGTGATGTTATTACAGATAATTGATTGTATCTTCCAAAACTTGAAAGATGTGGAATTGATTTTAATCGATTTTTGTTAGTAGAAGGAACTACAAATGCTATCTTAGATAAAATACTTGCTATAAAAGCAGGTTGTTTTTCTGATAATTCATAAATGTTTTCAAAAATAATACTCAACAAAGAAAGTTTAAAAATTAAATGATTGTTTTCATACAAGCACATGTCAATAAGTCTGTTACCTAAATCTATGATCCACTTATCATCATTTAATGAAATAAATATTTTCATGAGAATTTTTCCATAGCAAGTTAAATAAAATTCTTCTTTTATATTATCTTCTAAAAACTCCAAGAAAAGCAATTTTCTACCAAATTTCAAATTTAAATTATGATAGATTGTATCATAACTTGAAGGGGGGAGAATTCTTTTTGAGGTCCACAACTCAAAACAATCGTCATTGTTATCGTCATTAATTTTTTTGTTAAATGCGTATTCATCTGCTGATTCAGTTATGGATTTATTATAATCATTCCAATAATAATGCATTTTAATGTTTTTCTCTTTAGTGAATTTAGAAGATTTAAAAGTCCAGATTATTACACCAATATATGTATTCATAATGAAATCATCATTCTCAAGAACTTCACAGTGTAGTATAAAATTCTTTTCATTAACAAAACTGGAAAAAATATAAGATGGAAAAATTTCAAGATTACTACTATTTGGACCCCAATCATTCTTGTGGAAATCAAATTCAATCACAGTTAATTTGATTGATCGATCGTTTAATTCTAACACCCATTTTAAATAATTCCCTAGAAATTCTTTTTCGTTATCAAGAATAAATTCATTATATTCTTTATTTAATATATTATTTATACTTTTAATTGTATTTTCAGATGGTGTTATAATGCTGTTTGTGTCTTTCAGTTCTCTTCGCAAATATTTAACCCAATCTTCAGAATTATCAGGCACCAACTCTTTGATTGACAATTTCCCATCAATCGTATAGATTATTTTATCTGATTTAATTTGGTATGGTTCTTGAATTTGGTTATTTTCAAAAAGTTTAATTACATCTATTGGATTTATTAGATTATAAGGATCCATTATATAATATTCCTTATCAGGTGGATCGTCTAATACATAAAATAATCTTTCTCCTTTTCTAGAAGCGATCAAGTGAAACCTATTTATAGCTCGTTTTGAATCAACTAAAAATAAAATAAAATAAATAATATTAAAAAAATTATTTTATTGATTATTGTAAAAACTTACAGAATGCTAGATTTATCCCAGTTTCGGTGGAAAAGACATATAAACGTGTTTCTTCAGTTTCCTCACTTTTTGCACATATTAATAATAACTCTTCATCATCACTAATTTCAATAGATTCAAGAGTATAATTCCACTCTATTAAAATATGAGTTTTGACTGATAACGTTTCAATGTCCCATACTGTAATCTCATAAATCGTATCATTAAATATGATCAATTTACTTTTAAGTGTAATAAAAATTTGTTTAAAATATTTCAGTTCAACCATTGATTTACAAATCCATTTATTATATTTACTTAAAAAAACATATGCTCTGTAATGTTTAGTATTAACCATTATAATGTTTCCGTTATCAGTAAATGACAAAAAGTCAATTTCATTTTGCTGATCCGGAAAAGTAAGTAATACCTCATCCTCAGTTTTAAAATCGAAAATTTCTTTATAAATACAATAAATTAGTCGGATTTGTTGAAATAACAATAAATTTAAATTTATGAATAACTTACTAAAGTTGTAGTGATTTTTTATTTCGAGACCAATTGAAGTAAACATGTTATCTGAAATTGCAAATAGTCTATCACCTTTTGATTTTGTACAAATATTATCAATATGAATTGTTTTAACTTTCTCCGGAAATTGGTCTTTACTTTCAATAGACCAAAAACTAATATTACTATCTTCGTCTAATGCAGCAACATGTTTCATATTAGGAGAGCAAACAATTTTTGAAAATTTCTTTATTTCATTTTTAATTTCTTCAACTTGAATTTGTACAGAAAAGTTATCAGATGTCATTTCTAATTATCTTTGATAAAATTTATAAAACGTTTTATGAATTATAAAGTTTTTTTTTTTTTTTTTTATATCGACGACGTTATTATAAAAATTTTCTACAATTTTTTTTAATAAAAATTTCAGAGGATTTTAACTAAGCAATAATCCACTAATAAATATTTGTGGCAATGTTTTATCGATTTGGGCTTAAACTAATGTTATTAGCTTAAATATGTAGATATTCAAAAATATCGATTTTTTTTAAAAATGAATTTATTAAAATGTGCTATAATTGCTATATTCTGATATCCTAAAAAACCAAGTAATTGTTACTCTTAAATAAAAAATATTTAGCACTCAAAAATCCTAATCTAACTCTAGCACAAATAATACTTACCTTACCCTTAACCTTTATCCTAATTCTAATTTGTTTTACATATTGTTATAACATTATAGGCATTTATAACACTGTCAGCAGAAGCTAAGCAATAGCATAAGACATGGCTATGTTTATTGCTTAAGCCATTGATTGTACATACGTCCTTGGTTAAATCACCACCTAAATAATTCTAAGTAAAATTTTTTACGCCATAAATTACGATTCTATTAGGTTGGATTCAAGAGTAACTTATACCAAAATTTTACAATGAGGGTTTCAAAATTAGTCTGATTTCGGATTAAATAAGTGACGTATTTATTTCAAAATAAGTGACTTGCAAAGTATATTTTATTTGTTGATTTGTAATTTATTTATTATTTCAATTTCTGATTTTGAAATTTAAAAATATAAATAAGATTTTTTAAACTCCAACTTGAAACACCCTAATAAATTTTTTTTTTTATTAATGCGCAGAAGACAGCTTTATAGACTAAATTTGAATTATGAGGGATTTCATATGGGCGGAAATCTTCAATTTTGTGATTAGTTTGTGATTAGTTAAGTTGAATTGTGAGATTAAATAGAATTTGAGCCAATAATATATATAAAAAACCATCGTTTATCACAAATTTATTTCATAATATGTATGAGAGAATCGATTTTCTTATTAGAATCAATTAAATGAGTTTGCTAAATATATCGTTATTACCGGAATAAGTAATTTGTTTGCTGTATATATTATAATTGATAATACACTGCGGTTTATAAAATTGATAATATAAAGATTACATATCAACATTTGAGTGGCGCCAATGGAAAACCCGAATCCGGAAAGTACAGGTTACTATCATCACAATGAATCGATTACCTCACCAAAATCGGGTGGGTTTTTGCAAAAAAATTTTATAGTATTTTATAAAATTTTTACGGGTCTGATTTAAAATTTCATGTTATGAAAACCAAGTAATTAAGTGTGTATTGCCTAAGTGTCATCTACCTTTTTGCTAATTATCCCGTGCTTCGCACGGATAAATTTACTAGTGTTAAAAAGAAAATTAAAGTCGTTAAACAAAATTCGGCAGAAACATGTTATTGACCAATCAGAATACAGGATCAGATGTAACGTAAAATCACGCTTTTTTTCAAATAACTCCAAGAAACTGCCTTATCATAAGGCGGTTTCTACTCATAAGGCCCTTATGAGTAGAATTGGGTAAAAGTTGATACAGTTAGCTAAAGCCCTTTGATTATTTACTTGATCGAAGTCTACCAAATTAGAATCATCAGTGTAATCAATGCTTTACGTAGCAAGGTTCTGAAATAATATTAACCTCAGTCATTATTATTGTAACGGATCAGCTTGACATTCAAAAAATATTTGATTGGATAAAAGTATAGTACAGTATTACAAACTACCGTAATGTTTTATAATGAATTCAACTTCCTAACTATATTAAATTACTTTTTTTTAATTGAGGTAACTTCTATTAACGGTAGTAATTTATTATTTATTATACATGTATGAGTGTTAACTGAGTTTTAATAACTAAATACAAAATTTAAAAAACACAAACATAGTTAGAATTATAGATTACTAATTACATTACAAAACAATATTAGTTGAAATTCTCTAAAATTATATTTTAAATATTTAATTTGATTAACCTTATCTATAACTATAAAGATATGAATTTTTTTAATTCACTATGACTTTGAAATTTTATACTATAATAATAATAATTATTTACTTCTTTTCTAAAATATTTTCTAATTTTTTTTGCATTTCACCAATTTTTTGAATCAATATACTAATTTGTGCATCTTTTGGTTTTTTTTTATCTATGATTTCTAACAAAGCATTAGAAAGAAATGGCATTTCGATATTATAATCCCAATTGTTATTTTGTATTTTAGAAGCAATATTATTAAGTTTATCAAGTCCAAATCTGTAAAATCTTTAAATATAAATATTAATGTTAAATCCTCTAGATAAATAAAATATTTTAAAATAAATGTAGTAAATTAATCTTTACATAAGCTTGGGAAACCAATCATGTTTTCTACGTTGGTATGGTAGCATATATAGAAGCTCTATTTCTGATAAAATCTGTTCAAAAGTATAAAAATTATTATAATTTTAAAAATAGCTAACGACTTAAAATGACCTACCTTCGCTCTTTCAAGTAAAAATAATTCTTTTTTGTTTGTTTCACCAATAAAATTAGTTAACAAACCAATAAATAAATTCATCAAATAAATGGTTGTAAAAAAGGAAAAGAGGATTATCAAAATTGCCAGTGTTAGATTTTTAGTTAATGACTCATAAGAAAAGTAAGATGAATCGCCTATGAAATAATTATACAGTATAAGTGCAATAAGTATTTGTTATTAATGTTAGAAGTAAATTATTTAAAAATACCTATTAACATCATATATACAGCCAAAAATGATGTAACTAAATTTTCAAACACATCAGTGTTTGTAGATTCTTCTGAAGTAGTTACAAGTTTCAAAGAATTATTAAGATCATAAATTGTTGGCCTTAATAAAATAAATAAGGAGTGTGCAAAAGCAAACATAATGAAACCTATCATTATAAAAAATGATAAGGAATTATTTATGACACCAATAATCATTACCCAATAAGTACCACCAAATTCAATAGCACGAAAGAATGTTATAAATTTAAATT